TACGTTCGTAGCACGTTTACAAATGCGATATTAAATATCATATGTATATAAAGTTATATATTTTATTTTAGTTTCGACGTTATCGTATTAGCATAGTACTGTATGGATAGTGATTTTACGAATAATTGAATAACATTCTTATTATTTAAAGTGGGTTATAAACTGGATAAGTGTCACTTTTGACTAAATAACTTGAATTTTATATTTCTACTTTTAGTGCGGCTTCTTCCGGAGAAATAATCGAGAAAAGTTAGAAGGTCTGAAGGAAAGCGTTCATCGGCAGAGTGTAGTAAGTAAATTAATAAATAATTCTCTGATATTATTTCAATCTACCACTCTACCAGACTCAGATTAAAACGCCTATATAGTCTGTCTCACTCTAACGCGTACCGGGCTGCACGGGTCGCGCTCACGCTACGTCACCGATCTCGTCAGAGAGATCGGTGACGTAGCGTGAGCGCGCAATGCGCAGTATGCGTTCTGTCCCACTCTAACGCCCCGGTATTTGCCGCACCTATATTACGTCATCGTGTGTTAGGTTTTCTTCGTTACAGAAGTTCTTGATTCCGTCGAAGCAATTTCGATACATCAAAATAGATACAAACAACACTTTCGCTGTCTGGGACTGTTCAATGTTAAAGAAAATTTCTCTTTTGCAGTACCGTAAATCAATGCGAGCAAGTATGCTTGCAGCAGCCAGATCCAACGCGGGAGACAATTCCGAACTTCTATTTAATGACGACGATGTACAAAATGAATAACACGACTATTGTAATTTATTATTTAATTATATTAAAATGTTAATATTATTTGCTTATCTCAATTAAAATAATAAATTCGGAGTATCCGTATTACCTCGACGCAATTGTCTCGCATCGCTGCTTTGTTGATGCCTTGAAGATAGAAAAAGCGCTTTTAGAGAGGAGAGGAGAGCGGAACCATTAAAAATTACATTCAAGATATACTCAAATCAAAGACGTTTTTAAGGCAGTTTGAAGTATTTCCGAACTAATTCTTCTTAGGGTCCTTCAAGAAAAGAGCGTACCAATTTTTAAAAGGCCGTTAACGCACTCGCGAGCCTTCTGACATTGAGAGTCCAAAGGCGGCGGTATCATTTAACATCAAGTGAGCCTCCTGCCCGTTTGCCCCCTGTTCTATAAAAAAAACGTAACGAAAAAAATGTATGCTACATATGAATACAAAATATTACTGCAAATATTACCCCACAAAATATTACTACTAAAAAGTGTAAATTTGAAATATTTCTCATCTTAAATGAAAAATCTGAGGAAGTTTTAATAACGCAATAAACTGGATAAATCTGCACTAGTTTATTAACTTCAAGAAACCACAAACTACAAACTTGTGAGAAAATAAATTAAAAAGTCAAAGAAAATTAAATTATTTTCTAGTTTGTTAATGTTATTTGAAAGATTTTGAATTAAACATCGATTTTGTTTACTAAACTTGGTTTTCATAAACTGAGGTTAATTAGTTTAAATGACTCGAGCTGGTACATTCGCAATGACGACCTGCATCAGGACCTTAATGTAGAGGACATCACCACAATAATCAAGAAGCTAGAACGAACAAAGGTTTCACCAACACGTGAATGTCGAGGCTATTCAACTTCTTGACTCCATGGATCTTGTGAGAAGATTGAAAATGACAAAATCATTCGAATAAGTGGATTAGTTCACGTTAGTCTTAAGTGCTAAACAGTGGTAAGTGGAAAAATTGTACACAAGAACAGAGTCTTGCCCTTAATAGAGACTGTAAGTAGTGTGGACGCTTTCTTATGTTAAAAATCCTATTAGTACGATAGTTTTAAATCACTTATTAGTTAGGTTAGATCGTAATGTTAAATTGTGTCTCTGTGCAACAAATTACACAAAAACAAGAGCGTGCTATATGTGGTCTTATTTCAATCGGACTGAAAGACTTACACTGTGATTGAACAACTATGAACAAGAAAAGAGCATACCCATTCTTGAAAGGCCGGCAACGCGCTTGCGAGCCTTCTGGCAATGTGACCATGGGCGGCGGTTTCACTTAACATCAGGTGAACCTCCCACCCGTTTGCCTCCTATTACATAAAAAAAACTCCCGAAGTTTTTGTCATAAGGGTAAGTTTTGCGGAAACCAAATATGAAGAAATAGTTTACAAATACATGATTAGCGTCAGTAAGAACTGAAGATAAACTCATATAGTTAATTTAGTTGTTATGAATATTAATTTTGTAAGTTTAGTTTTTGAGGCACTGTTTTTAATTTATTGTCTTTTGTCAAGCTAACCTGTGTCGTCTTGGTCGTTTTTTAATAAAATATATTAATTTTCAAAAACTTGTAGAACAGTCGCTAAATAATAAACTCGGAAACTTGGATGAAGTTAAAATTAATTTAAGTTGGTCACAAATCATTCGGAGACCTCCGCATGGGGTAAAGAACTGAGAAGTTGTATTTGGTAAACAATACGATAACTTTTCTCATAATTATTTAAAAAAGGGTTTAATACAAGAAATACGTTATTTAATTTTTAATGGAAATTTTAATATTATTGTCTCTTCTTCAATGCATGGTGTTCACACTGGAGGCCCTATGTTCGAGTCCGGGCGACAATAATTGTTTAGGATTTATAGACATACGAGTATGTGACCTTTGTGACCTAAAGGTATTTGAATGACAAAGTTAGACGACTAAGTGTACGATCTTTAATTATTCTATAAACATGTCACTATGATAATAATAAGCGATCATATGAATATTACAATCAACAAAGTTAAATGCAGGTCGTGCTAATTTTGTTGAACCTAGGAAAGTCTTGCGAGGTATTCAACACCTAATATAGATTCCTAAATTAAAATTGTGTTTGTACTGCGCGATTCTAAGGTTGCAACTTTGCTATAGGTACTGATAGAACTACATCAAAAATGGCTTCTGAAACAAGGATTTCTATCACTGGAAGTTATAATCTTGGACAGATCGCATACGAAATGCAATCCGTGCTGGACAGAATGCAGAAGTGCTAAGAAGCTTTTGACGGTTAAGAAAAGAAAACTTGAGTATTTCGGACACGTTATACGTAGCACCAAAAAACACTAGCTCCTTTAACTAATCATACAAGGCAAGAGCAGGTAGAAGGAGACCTGGCCACAGACTTCTTGGTTGAAAAACCTAAGACAATGGTTTGGTCAAAGTATTAAGTCATTGTTTAGAAGCGCGGCATCCAAAATTAAACAAGCCATAATGATCGCCAACCATCAAAGGAGATGGCATTATTAGAAGAAAGAAGTTATAATTAGAAGAGATAATCTAATTATTAGTAATGCGACTAGATCCCGTGGCAAAGTTGTAATAGCAAGAAGTGTCTAACAGAAAAAGCGCCTTAAGGGTTCTTGGAAAGTTCTAAAAACAACTAATTAAAGACTTTGTTTATTCGTTAAACATTTAATTGAATTCGCTTGAACGTGGTATCGGCGACCTCAAGTTTAATTAGTTTACATGCTTCACATACCGCAAGTTGTGGGTCTTAAAATGCACTTAAAATGGGTACACACCGAACATTCTACAATTTCTCGTGAATTAATTTTCACCGCTACAGAATCAGCATATACTTTCTTTCAAACGATAAACAAAATCATATAATCAAAACATAAATAAAAAACTGCAACTGAATATGAATTTTTAGTTACACGAGTCATACTACATTTGTACATTTTTGCCGTAACATTTGGGCAAATGTCTATTCGTATCCCACATATTTCTCTAAGGAATGCGTATCGGATGTATTTCGTGAGACGAGTAAAAAATATAGAAGCCTCTTACATTATATTTCTCCGGGTAATTCTTTTTGCGATATCAAATATGTGTACGATTTTCTATTTCTTTCTTTTTATTAGATAAGATAAGCAGTGTTAGTAGTCAGGCGTACGATTTTTAAACCTGCTTTGTAGGTTCGGTTTCCTTTACACCGTTACTAACCCAAATCCGGGACATAAACAGATGAGCAAATTATGCACTTGGCTACGGGATCCTTCGGTTGTGTCAGACATTCGTCCCTTCATAGTATGACAATTCCTTGTTACACAGACACTTGTGCTCGTGTGTGTGTGATTTTACACATACATCTGTTATAACGTACAATGTTCAATTTCATATATTTCTGAATCGTTTCGATTTAAGCGTTTTAAAAATTGGCTTCGCTCAACATGAATCGGTATTTCACTAAAATGTTCATACAAAGTTAAACATCGCTTGGGTATTCAAAGGCCGCAGTTTGTTAGAATTGAATGCTCAGATCGTCATCGAGGTGCCTACGTGCTTTGTATATGTCGATATTTTTACACAATATTCCCAAATTCGCCTTCTCATATTGCAAATGTTTCGTATCCATTTTTAAAGTAAGTATTTGAGCATGGTTTCTGAACCCTTAGGATGTTCACGAGTTTCACGTGAATTTTGATGTTTTTGTAATTTCGACTAGATAAAGATGTTTTTTTATTTTTGTGGTAGTATAATATGGTTATTAATTTCGTAGTGGTATTCTTCCTAATGATAATACAATTTCTTTATATATCTTTAATTGTTTAAAAAATCGTTGTAATATGGATAGTCAAATGGTGTAAAGCTATGATAACAGACAAACTCATGTTTAATTACTTTAGAAAAACTAAAAATTCATTCGGTATTTTTATAAAAAAATACGTGTCAAAGAATTTTAAGGTTTTTAAGTAACTCCTTATGTAAACACAACCTCAATAGAACCTTACTCGACTTAATTTGATAAACATTGAAGATCCTTGATGAACCTTTAACAATAACGTTTAATACTCCGTTACCTCATAAATATGTAAATGTTCTATTATTCTACCGCCGCTCCAGTAACTCGGGAAAATTTCAACTTTTTAAATGTATTTTTGTTAAGCAAAAAACAGTTGTTACAGAGTTCGAGATTTAATAATGTAGACATCTTAACAGTTATATTATGAGATAAATAGTGATAATGGAAATAAGAATTATACCGTCTAAAGGCAGTTTTATGAATGCATCTAAAACAAAGACAAACAATTCGAATACAAAATGTTTCACCAAGGGTTCGCGCTTTATCAACAAGTTCATAATGAATATTACAAAATAGCTTTTGTAAGCGAGTATTGTTCAGATTTCCTTTAGATTCGGTTCAAATCGCAGTGAAGGGCTTCTCTAAATTCTTCTACTTATCTCTATTCCTCGCGACAATTTTCCAATTCTGCCCGCTATCCCTTTTATTCCATCTTCCAAAGTTTCTGGTGGGCGTCCTGTCTTTCTTCTTTCCATTGTCTGTCTTCTTGACTCATCTGCCATCACAAATGCGGGCAATGTGACCGGCCCATTTCCTCTTTAACTCTTTTGTATGTGTTACGTCTTTTATGTTTGTACGGCTTCGTATCACACCGTTTTTAAATTTGTCTTTAAGTTAAATCGTAATTCAAATATAATTTTGAGCTTTGAGTGAATGTATTGATTTATATCGTCACAGCAATACACGTCACTGTAAATATTTAATGTTACAATTTTGTCCAATTATCATCAGTAATAGGTACCTACTGTAGGATTTTATAAGAAACTAGCGACAAAATATTCAAATACATTTTACAATTTAAATAACACATTTGGGAATGGAAAAAAGTTTCTAATAAAGGGATTTGAACTACGAAATCTGCTATAAGTTTAAATGACAATAAATAAAAGTCAGCGTAATTAGGAATATTTTATTATTAAACGTACACAGCTTGTAAAATGACGCACAGCGCCAAAGTAACCACCATGATGGAGTCTGAACTGGTTGGATTGACACCTTGATGGAGTTCTGCAAGACTCTCACCTAGAAAAATTAGTATGTTTAAGACTTTTGCGAAGGTCATACAATTCTTTTCATAAGAGGAATATTCCTCTTAGGGAAATAGTTCCCTAAACATTTAATTTAATTAATTGTTGATGTTCAAAGGCCCAGAGGATATCAAAAGTGGGTATAAAGAATTACTTAGAAAAGGAACAGCGCATAAGATAATATTGAATATTATACTAGCATTTAATTATTCTACCTTTCCGAACACATGTTATATTTTATCGAAATTATCACGATTAAAGAGTAATAACGTGAATTTAAAACTGTCATCTATCTATCAAAAATATATAGTAATGTTTTTTCTTAGTTTTTCTGTATGACATAACTCGCTATTTTTAACATGCAAAGGTACAATCAATTAACGTTTATTAACTAATTAATTAACGTTTTACTGTTTAGGATTAATTAAAAATAATTAGGTTTATATTTAATATCTGGGTGAAGAGTCTTCAATTAGATAAGTGTCGATATAATTTGACCCTATTTTTAACCAGTAATTAAAATATAAAAATAGATTTTGATTTATGCCAAAATCCATCCTAACACAAGCTTTAAGAAAAGTAATCACTGAAGAAGACGTAGAAATGTGTCTGACTTATGTTATAATAACTTCCTTAATACATCTCAGAAGTTCTTTAAAGGGTTAAAAAAGTTCGAAATTTCAAAACTCAAGTCAATTATTATGAAAACCACACCAAAATTCGACAGAAGTAAATTTATATTTGGTAATTGATACACAGCACTAAAATTCTCCACTCGTAAACATATTGTCACTTTTGAAAACTCAAGTGGAAAACTAGAGCGTTCAAAGCGAAAACTCGTAACGTAAATTACCGAGTTTCATGAAATAATTGCGCGCTCAAGTACCGCTATCGATTTGTTTTGCCTGCAAACATGGATTTGATTCGTGAAATCAGAGAACATGTATAGGTACTTAATACACTTGCAAAGCGTTACGTTCTCTAATAAACACCCTCTCTTTGGATTGAATTCAATATCTCTTAATGGTTTCTTTATGAAATAACTGTCAAATGTGCTGTATAGACAGACTCGCAGAATTAACGACTCGGTTTTTTGATATAAAAACAAGACATTTATTACTTTACTTGAATGATAATTACTGTGTACCTAGCTTTAGCATTTGACTTATAATTATAGACATTTATATAGATTGGCCAAATATAGGGGAGGGCAAAGGGGGTCTCATAATAGACTTCGGAAAAAATTATTTTAAATTCCGACTAGTAAACACTAGTAAACTTCTCTTTTGATACATTTTTATATGTTTGTTTATTACTAAAAGAATCTACTTGGTGTCAAAATAAATTATTATTGATTGAAAAGCTCGACTGAAAAAAATTGTTTATTTTGTTTGGAAAATAATTTGGGGCCAGATGGCCTCCAGACCTCTAAATCCGGCCTTGAATTATTCACTATAATTTAAAGTCTAAACCAAGAACGTACCCTTTATAACATGTAACATGACATGTGCCGCATCTGGGGCTGGGGGTGGTGCGCGAGCAACGCTACAACTGTATCTGCCAGCATCATCGCCACGGACTCTCGCCACGCGGAGGACTGAGTTTGCACCGTTTGCCCCAAATTCCGTGCGTACACTGAAATATTTATTTAAAAAACGTGACGGATGTATCGGGTAGAATGTTTATTACTACTAAGAAGGAAATTACTCTAAACAATAGTACAGTGGACCCCCGGTAAGCCCGTGTCTAATCCGGCACCCCCTGTATTCCAACACGGTCTAATATTTATTATCGAGTATTTTTTTAAATTTGACATACATAATGAAGTATGATTTGTACTTCAGAGTACATACATATAACATATATAATGTTATCATTGGATCTGCGATTTGTCGGATTACAGGATACTCTTATTAAAAAAATTCTGGACTATAGGGGGTCTTATTCATACTGTCCTGCAAAATTACCAGGGGTTCAATAAAAGGGCTGGGCTGTAATAAAAAATTGTATCATTGAAAAGAAAAAAACTTATTTTTAACCGTTCTTGAATAAGATAAAAAACTGTAAACGAGTGTTTAATATTCAGCCGTATTACTAAATATTACAGATATGATAAGTATCTACCAATGTTATGGAGGTCACGTAATGTATGTATATGTAAAAAATATAATTGCATTGCTAGGGAGTTGGCGAGCAAAATAGCTATATCTAATATAGTATATGATTTACTTGTGTGGCAGTCTTTTTTAACAGCGATAATTATACATGGTTATCCTTATCAATTGACACGCCTTAAAAATGTAAAAAAAAACAGCTATACTATATCGTTCGATCGTGTCTATCTTTAAGGCTAATGTTTAGAAACTTTGTCAAAATGAAAAAAATCAAAAAGGCAGACATCTTGGACTCTGACTTTTTAAGTAATGAATTTTTAAAGATATTTTATCACGGCATAAATACGATTTGATAGAAGGGGACGGGAGAGTTCCTTAGTCAAAAGAGTGCAATGACACTAATTTAATTTTTGTGTATAAGAAGGTTAGTTTTAAGTTCCCGTCTAATATGGTTGTAAGTGGCTCACATCCTTCTCCACACAAAATACACGTAAGCTTTCGCGTTTGTTAAAAAGAAATAAATTTAAATTCATACAGAGTAAATATAACAAAATGCAATGTAGAAACCTTAAATTCTATATAACCTTACATTCAGAGTATAGCCTCATTAGTACGTTCATTCAGTTGAGTTGGTAAAAACTATTGGGTTTGTAATAAAACGTTTGGTACTACAAAGCTTGCCCATTTTATGTTTTTAAATTCAAAACAATTATTCTATGTTACTATAAAGTAAATATTTAGTATTGATAAAATACATCAGTGGCCCTACAACCTGGGCAAGTAGGTGATCAGCCTCCTGTGACTGACAGACGGCGTGGACTTTTAGGATCTAAGGCTAGCCGGTCTCCTTAAGATATTTTCCTTCATCATTTGAGCAAATGTTAAAGGCGCACTTAGAAATAAAGTCACAGCCGGGGATCGAACCTACGACCTCAGGGGTGAGGGGCCTTTCAAGTATTACGTAAGCAGATTTAATGAATGTTATCCCCCCCCCCCCCCTCTTGTCAGCCAAAGTAAGCAAAGCTTTAAAAAATCAAAATAATAATAGTAATTAATAATAATAATACTAGTTAGCATTAATAATAATAATAATAGTATTAATGTTAAGTAAACGTATTAATGTTTTGTAGGAAACCTCGAAAATGCATTTCGTTTTCAAGCATAGACAATGTGTAATATTTGTAAATAAATACTGTTGACGTAATCACCAAATAAGACAATCAAAGGACCCCCCTCAATCCCTATAGTACTTACGTAATTCTTGAACGGGCCTTGAAAGTCGCATGCTGAAGCCTAGGCCATCACTGCTGCATTCAGTATTGATATTACTTCTTTAATGTTTTTTTTAAAGATAATTGTATCCTAGTATACACACCTAATACCACCTCTAGTGGTGTCGTCGTTTAAAAGGAACTCCCTCCGATGCCAAAGAAGTGAAGGTCCTCCCTCCATCTTGAGGCCTCGAACTTCACACCGGAGAGCCACAGTGCTGCCAACTTCACACACCTGCTCTGATACTACCGCACCAGCGCCATCTACTATACGCACCGATACTTCTGTAAATGTTGAATATATGTTAATCTACACTTATAAACTTTGAAATGTAATTCTTGTAGTAATATCTGGACAAAAAGGATAGTTCTAAAAACAATTGTATATAATATATAGTAGACAATTAAAGTAGTTTGTAACATAGAGAACATAATATATAATAACAACAACTCACTGCTAAGAATCTATCGCAGCGGCGAAAACAATAAATGTTTAATTTGGAATGCATTTATTCTATGTAGTCAATCGTGGAATAAATCATTTAATGAAATAATAATTCAATCGACGTTTGATTATTTTCATGTAAATTGTCATCGTGAAATAACTTGGGTGTGACGCTTAATTTTAATTCAAGAATATTTAAAGCTTTAATAACTATTAGTTGATAGAATTTCTATTAAACTCAAGTTTTTTTTACCATTAATTATTTGTTTTAGATTAATATATAATTTTTAGTTGATAAATATAATATTATGTGTAACGTCTCTATACATTACCACAAGTTTGTTTTAATTTTCTGTTTATTAAATTTTAATTATTTATTATTTTTGGTTAACATTATTTTAAAGATAAATATTTCGTGTGAATATTTATAATAAATCTCGTTTATGTCAATTAAGTAATATTTTTTTATTCTCTGTGTATTTATGTATCCTAGTTTAGTGGTCTAGAATGTGTGTGGTATCTATCGCCTATCTGCAATAAGTAATATTAATAAACCAGTCTGTCTTCCGAACCCGCCCATCAACTCATATATTTCTTATAAGTGAATGTTGGGAATTAATGAGAAATAAACATTTAACTCGCAAAGTAAAAACAAAGATTAAAGAAACTAATTATTACACCGACTGTAACGAGAAAAGTACTTAAATCAACTGCTCTCTCAACTTTACTCTATTGAGTAAAATTTGTACGATCGAAGAAAAATACTTGTAAGTGTCACGCTTCGGAACTCGCTGACATGTAAGTTTAAGACCAAACTGTTTTAGTTTTAAAGTGTTTTTGCTTTCACAGTTTCTATGTTAGAAGTTCACCAAGTATGAAAAGTTAAAACTTATTTTCTATTTCAAGTATATTGACTTACCATTTTACACCTATTTATATTACAGAATATAACAAAAATTAAAATACTACACTTGAAAATCATTGGTGTTTGAAGTAACAATAGTAGCAGTCTTTTCAGGAGCGCGACAAATGCACAAGAAACATTTTTTTAACTTATTTTTTATGACGGTCCTATTATGGTAGTAAATACTTCAACGTTCTCTCACCAAAGAAGTTTACGAATTACACAGACAAACTTGTATTACAGCTCGTGTTGTATGTCATAGTCTACTTAATATTATGTCATCTCAAGAAAGTATCACTACTACAACTATCACGAAATTGACGAGAAACGCGAAAATAGAAAGTGCCTCTCGCTGACGGAGGCTGCTCTAAAGCATTCCAAATGCTATTTAGATGTATTAAATAAGTTGTATTTAAGTCTTGTACTCGTGTCCATACCAGGAACTCTCAATGTGACTCGAGCAGTGCGGGGCGGATGGGCAGACAATTGACAATCGTAAAATGCTGCGTCCGTTGGCCGAACTGATTTCACTTCGAGTCGCCAGATGTCAGGAGGTATGAAGCGTGCGGAATACCTAATACAGAAAGATAATAATCTATGTTTAAGGGGAAAATTTCAACAAGAAAATACAAAAATGCGCAATTATATGTTTTATTTAATTATAAATAATGAGGGAAGTAAGGACGTTAAATGTAACCTTATATGAATATGGGATTATACAGAAGAAATAGGTATGGACTAAAAAAAGTAGTGGCGCTACAACCTTTTTAGCCCGGGCCTTAGATTTATGAATCTGTTTCATGATCATTTTTCAATCTAATAGGTGATCAGCCTCCTGTGTCTGACACATGCCGTCGACTTTATGGGTCTAAGACAAGCCGGTTTCCTTACGGTGTTTTCCTTCCATTGGTGCACAGCCGGGGATCGAACCTACGACCTCAGGGACGAGAGTCGCACGCTCAAGCCACTCAAGCTTAATTATGGACAAAAGATCGTCTAAATACTATTATAAATAATTAAACAGTTTTTTCGACAAACTCATTAAAAATATTGCCAATAGTCTAAAACCAAAACTATACAGTTATATTGAAGGCCTTTGTCAATATGAAAAGTCTATTAAATAATAATAAAAAGTAAACTGACCTGCTATCCGCTGTATAAAGTTGTGTTCCAGTTGTAAGAAGTTCCATGGGCGCCTCATCGCTTTTCCGACGAACCCACGAAACCTTACGAATAAAAATATGTTAAACAAGTTATTTTTTGTAGTAATTAGTAGCGGGAAATAAAACTAATTTAGACTCTTATTAATTATAAAGTGACTATTAACGTTGGATATTGATAATATTTATACGAACAAAAACAGAATTGTATGTTTTATATTAAAATTACCTAAAAATTATATTTTTTTTATTTGACCTTAAAATATTGAATTATTAATTTATATTCAAGTGAAATGAAGAAGATCTTATGAGGATAATTTATGAATTTCTATGTCAAGAAGTACAATAATAATAAAAATACATCTGACCTACGGTTGAAATTCATGTGGACAAAATAACATATGCGTGAAATTTCAAACCTTCTCCCTTGGGAGTTGAGGTTACAAATAGCTAGCGCCAAATTGTGTCAAACCTAGCGAAGTAATGACACTTCAACTTCATACGAGTCACTTGGCATGCGTGACTGGAAACTTAAATTTAACATTATATTTTCCACTTACCTTTTAATATTAGCATACATGACAGTATAGCAAGGTATTTTTGTATTAACGTAAAATCAAATAAAAAAAACGACGGCTTGCACTCCGGTAGTGCCGGCAGAAGTGAAAACTTGAATATTAACGTTGTGCATTTTTGATATTTTGGAATGGTTAGGGAATAATTACGCACGAATTGCTTTAATTATCAGTATAAAAGTACTATCATTTATGTGGTAGAATACTATTTTTATTTATTGCGCTATCGTACACAAACATGACATTTATATTACATTAAATACGCCGCGCCAGCTGTTTACTCTCTATCCGTCTTACGAATTTTCGATCAGGTCACGTGTCCTGACGCGAGTTTAACATTTTTTATCCATTCCAAAAAAGTGTACAACGCCGCTAAAGAAGTTTTCACTTCAAAAATCAAGTATAAAAGTAAAAATCAAAAGTAATGACATACTTATTACCAGTTTATCATGTAAGGCGTCCACTTTGCAGTCCATGTAAGCGGTTGATCCCACAAGAGCCTCGATTTCAGGAGCGGCTGCTACGTAAATACTATTGCCGTGGCCAGTCCTGAATTAAAATAACTTGGTTTATTAAACACTATGTAAACGAGCGAGAATGGTATAGATTTTTTTATAAATTTAATGTTTTTTTTATTATTATTAATGTATAGTATATTATTAATAATTAATAAAAACTTTATTTGTGACAAAATTCATATATCGCTAATCCCTGTGTTGTGGGTAAAATTAATCCGTGGTACAAGTTTAAAACAGTTTAAAAAAAAAGAATTGTACATTAAGTCTGAGTGAATGTGTGAGCATGTGACAGTGTAGGTGAGAGTTGTTATGACCGTGCACTGTGTCTGTGTTACTTTTTGGAACCTCATAGTAATCATATATTTAATTTAAATATGTGTTAACCACCAAATTCACCTACTTAACGTAAATAATTAAATATATAGTAATAATTAGATGCATTGAATTAGCAAATATTAGTGTTAGTATTCTTAATAAATGATCATGTGATTTTAATATATCTGGTTCGTGGTCATTGGTTTTTTAGTAAAGTCCAGCCCTGCGATTCTGTAACTCACTTTTCGAACTCAAAAAATGACTGCTTCACGACTGATTTGAGAGCGACCGCCGATGCGAAAACCGCTGTGTGAGTTCGAAAAGTGAGTGACAGAATCACAGGGCTGTAGCCTGCTGTGCCTGACACACGCCGTCGACTTTTTGGCATACCGGTTTACTCACGATGTTTTTTACACCGTATGAGCTGGGTACGGTGTGTTGTGTACGTATGTAGTGTTTCGCAGACATTGAAAACCGAGGTTCGACCTACGACTTCAGGGATGAGAGTCACCCGCGACTACATGAAACAACTTCTTTTTTGCGTATTATTAGTAAACACACAAACTTTTGTTTTGAACTTTTTTACTTAAATACATTCTATTCATAGAACGAAAATACGATAACTAAGCTACGATTATTCAATTTGAAGGTAAGGCCAGACAATTACAAGTTAAAGTAAATACTGGTTCGCCGAAACAATTAATGTCATTAGATTACAGGGAGTATTCTACCAACTACTTCGAGTTTAATTTATTTAATGTTCTGACATACTTTTAACAGGGAAATAATTAGGTCGTAAAATGTTTTACGTCATTTTTATTTAGAAATATCAAATAAAAATTAGATGATTCAAAAAATTTAAAAATTATTAGGTAATGCATTAATGTTTAATAATCAGTAGCTGTGTAAACGAGCTGTAGTGCTTTGAGAGTGCAGCTCTTATTGCTAAGATTAGACAGTGGATATTTCTTTCTATATGCGCTTTTAACACTCGCATATATTGTGACGGAAAACATCGTGAGGAAACCGGCATGCATTAGGACGCGTGTCGACAAGCACGGTTTCTACCCGGTGCCGTGCTGTGTCGACACGCGCCCTTAGTATGTTACGCACAAATGGCTGAACACCGAATTGCCTATTACAAAATAAAGCATCACGAAACACACATAGACAAATAATAGTATAGAGGACCAAAGGTTGTAGCGCAACTGGTTTATTAATTATGTAGGGTGGGGGGGGGTTGGATTTTTCACTTGCTTGGATATAGCTCCTCAATGATAAGTCTCAATGAGTTGTTATGTGTCCTGATGGATTAGTAATTTATCCCTTAACAAAAGTGTCCATAGTATTTTTTTGTAACAAGTCCACTATAATAGCTACAGATGTTTAAATGCAGAAAGTCAAGTATGCTCAATGTACCCCATAGGTGGGGTAAGTTGAGCAAGGGTATGGGGCAAGTTGAGCACTAAGAATGTCTAGGCCAAACCATGGGTTCTATGTTAACTTGAGATGAAATAAAATATGTGTTAGACAGTCAGCTTTTTATTTATAGTCTTTTATTGACAGAACAACAAAATTTAAAGAAATTTTCTTTGTATAATTAACCGAAACTAGAATCAACAAAACATGAGCATCCATATCTATCCATTACTTCCGATAATTTCTAAAAAAGAGTACCAAGGCTGGTGGGTTCTGGTTTCTGTATGGATAGCTACGATTTTTTTGTTTTTAAAACATCATCAACCATTCTTTTCCGGAAATCTTTTTTGCAATTCAGCTTGGTGGAATTTCAGCACACTTAGGCAAGGCGACGGACGTCTTTTGGAGAAAAATGCCATTTGCAGCAAGAATTTTTTCAATAGTTCTCTTGTGAGAGAGGATATACATCCCTCGGTGTTGTATAGCCCATAAATCATCACCTTCATTTAATTTATTTAAAAGTCAACCAATACCGAATTCTTTAGCGGCGGTATTCACACTTTTTCCCTCATCGTGGACAGCCTTTGCAGCATTATTTAAGTATTCAGTAGTGTAAGAACATCTTGTAGTCTTCCTCTTGTAAGTCCGCATCCAAACAAAAAATAAAAGATTCATTACTCATCAGTTGTTTAAGTCGTAGAGTTAGTTAAGCTATAGTTGCTCAACTTACCCCAACCCGGAATTTTAAAAGAAAAGTAGGATTGTAAATAAATGTCTAGAATTAGACCCAAAACCTATTTACAAATCAAAAATACAATAATCTTCTGAAAGATTAACACTCTCCTGATTGAAAACAGAGAACATATTTTGACAAAGACAGACGAAAACTTGCGATAAACAATGTTTTTACTTTTTGGTCACAAAATAAACAAAACGCCGTGACACTTCACTCACTCGTCGAGCTGCCACTAGCTATCGTGCGATGATTACCTCTCCTACCACTCCTTCTTTTCGCTATTTGATACTCCCGCGTAAGGTGAATAGTTTCCGAGATATTTCGATTGCCCAACTTGCCCCTATGCTCAACTAGCCCCGCTCTACCCTACTGAAAGAAATCTTATTAGGGTGCTTAGTTTTTTTAAAGCAAACAGGCAGGAGCCTCATCTGATATTATGTGTTACAGCCGCCCATGGACACTCACATTGTCAGAAGGATCGCAAGTGCGATGCCAGCCTTTTAAGAATCAGTACGCTCTTTTCTTGACGGACCCTTAAGCAAAAACTGCATTAGAAACAGCCAGTTGTGGAACGACGGACGTCGAGGTGATACTGGTGGTTTTTCGTATTCTGCCTTGACGGCTGACGCGGAAACTAAGTAGTTATGTAAACTACTTATTTATATTTATTGAGTTGATAATAATTATTGAGACTAACACAGAATATCGCACCAATTGTTGAGACGAAAATTATGAGAAAAACTTATGTATTTTTTTTATGACATTACATTTAATATTTCCTTACCTATCATTCCTATGCTGATGCGTATTTGTATACGTATCAAAGATATAATTGAGCAATGGCGCGCTGGAGCCAGTTTCCCCTGGCTTACGTCTCCTTTCCAGCGCAGCAGGCAGCGGCAAAACTATAGTTGTCACTTCATACGTTGCATTTTCATTATCTACCTTTCTCTTTCTATGCTTTCTACCCTTATCTACAGCACCATTGAAACTTTTTGTTTCATTTAAAACTTCTGAAGTACAGCATTCTTGGAATTTAATAGGAAATAAATTAGCTAGAAAGTTATGCATAGAGTTACTCGAGTTAGATTTTGGTTCCAATGTGCCGTGGAGCATTTGGTAGAATTTATTAACGGTTGGTAATGTTTCGTGTATTTTAGATGGTATCGTTGATAAGTCAGCGTCGGTACCTGAAATATATTCATAAAAGTCAACTTAATATGTTTTAAATCTAAAAATAAACCTAACCTAACCTAACCTAACCTTCTCTGTACACCGGGATAAATATTGTTTTAATGATAATTTAACCCATTATTCAAAGCCGCCATAGTAAGTATAAACTTCACGACAATGTGTCAAAATTAAATAAATAACATTTTCCACGACACGACATTAATATAAAGAACTAAGAATACACTTACCACGGCAAGGTAGAGCAGAAAGCGCGGCTAAGAGGAGTGCCGCAGTGGCTGGCGCACACATCGCTACATCCTCATCACATCTGTGAACAATTTTACTATATTATATATATGCAATACATTCCATATATTTTGGACAATCCAAGGGAACAAGTCCCTTTGAAGAAGAGACTCTTGGGCCGTGAGGTACACACGCACTTTTTACAGATTGGCGCCTGGTACTAAAATATAATTAAGTAGGTAGGTACCAGGCGCCAACTTACAAACAAACAAAAATACCTGGTATTTAATAGATACCAGGTACCGGTGACCCCAAAGCTGGTGCTTACCTCGCTCAACGAATAGGTATCGCAATACAGCGAGGAAATGTTGCAGCATTAAAGGTACACCAACACAGGAACCAAACTTTTTAAATTTGTTTTAATTTTCTATATATAAATTTTTTATTATTATTATTACTAACTAGGTTTAAAATATTGTAAGTACTGTATATTAGTGTGTTAACGAAAGTAAATTCCAGAAATACGTTAATCACAATACGTCACTAATGCTGTATGAAGTTAATTTTTTTCTTATTCGTTTCTGAAGTTCTATAGATAACTTCTATCACAAAAATTACCTTATATTGAAATAGACTAAAATTATTTTACTTATGGAAGCCATGATACAAGATCTGTGCTCTCCAAGGGGGCCTGGGATTATTTGTTAGCACCAGCGATCAATTAACTTTAAAGGTCCAAAACGCCAGTATCCGAATATAAGAAATATTTTTTATGTCATATGTTTCATCTTTATCGTACGAATGGCCTAAGCATTAGCCAGTTTATTAAATGTTGTAATAAACGCTACGGCTGAACATCTTTCAGGCCGCTAGTTAAACGGCGCCGTTTAGTTAAAAGGCTAGGCTGTTAATTGAACGGCTAACGATATAACGGCTGCGACAGATATATCAATTCGATTCAAACGTCTTGTATCTCTGATACACAAATACAAGCCAAAATTTCAGTCGACTTGAAATGAGGCACAGCATTTTAATTATGGAAATTGACAGATGGGAGTGTAAGTCAAACGGAAATGAATTCAATCCTCAAAAGTCAATATCCAACAATACCTTGATTTAATTTGCGAATATTAATTAAAAATTATGTGAAAAGGGTCAATTCGTACATCTTTATGAGAATTATGGTAATGCTCGGTTATTTCATTACTGTATAATGAGTCGATAATTGTTTTCAATGTTGGAAATTGATTGGGATCTTTGTTCATTGAAATATTTGCGCCAATTTGCTTCGGGATTTACGATTAAATTTATGCTTTAAATCATAAAATGTGTTTTTGTCCCGCGTTTAATATTTTACAAACATTAAATTAAAATAATTTTTAAAATGAAGCAATTGTGATAACGAATTTCTTAGTCAAAACTTTATTAAATAAGAATGACGTGAACACAAACAAACTGATTTTAACTGAACTAATTGTACATTTTAAAGAGTTAAATAAACGTAAACATTCCATAAACAATTTAATTCGTTAAACTGTTACTTTCTATGGCGCTTTGGGCAAGGACATTCCTGTATCATTTTTAATAGAGAAACAAGGGTGTCCATCTATTGGCCTTCTGTATTTTCCGTGAAAGACAAAACCCGTGCTGTCCGAATGACACACAATGAACACGAACTACTGGGAACCCATGATATAACCCATTGGGAACCACTAAGAGAATTGGCAGTTAATGTAAAATTAGAAGCATTTAATGTTTTTTTTACGTTCATAAGTGTACATTGTGTTACCTATAGGAATAAATGAGATTGACTTTTGAACAATTCTACAGAAATATCGCATAGAAATTATTAAGTATTGAAACATCGATTTTATCCGTGAATGGATTTAATAGATCATTGATTTGATTTAGAATGTCTGAAGTGCCCACTATTCATTAAAATGTCGTTGGCAGTTTGAACATTAACTCCGGTATAACGACGTTTTGGGATATTACCGTATATCGCCACTCTTAGTTAAGATAAAACTGGTGGCGTTGCAAGCTTTGGTCACCTCACGCTGTCCGTTTTATCATCTTTATAGGCAACTAGGTGATTAATTTTTTATGCACACGTTTCCTCATGATTTTTTCCTTTATTTGTATGACCATACTTATTTGCTGATATAGATAAAAAGCAGTTATACACATGGCTTCGGGGTCCGTCGTAAAACCAATACTACCAATTACTAGTAATTTTTTTAAATCAATCAACAGTATAATTCGGACAGAATAAAGGAACTTTATAAAGTATTTTTTATTCAACTGAATGGCTCTATAGTGCCCGATGAATTATTTTGCTGCAAGTCTGTGTTATTTACGATTATGATTGCAAATAAATATCCCGAATTTTAACACCTTAGGGAACTAAATGTTGCTCTAAGATGTACAGTGTACACATTTAGCAAAGATTACCGGTCTTATTTACAACATTAACCAGTAATAATTGTGTTTAATGTATTTTATTATGACCACTTACCACATACTAAGGTATTACTAACTCTTTATTTATTAAGAAAATGCCATATAATTTATAGTGATAGGAATTTTATGTAATAGCAAGTCCACGCCGCGTCGTCAAATTTTTAAATCAAATCATTCATTTTCCAAAATGTTGGTATGTAGATGTGATGTGAATTCGTGGCATGCATTACATTAAAATTGTACGTATTTTATTCTAAATTTGAACAAGTTGGAATTAAAAAATTAACAAAAGAAGATAATTAATAAAAATGTCAAATCAATTATACTGTGTTTTATTGGAAAAGCCATTAAAATTGTTGGCTTTTAAGCATTTAGTCTAAAGCTCTAAGATCTAAATAACGTTTATACTTGACATCAAATAAATAGCACTTTAACTAATTTATGGTATATAAATCTTTTAATACAAAACGTGAAAGCAGGTGATTCATTCCAAGGATCAAGAAAGGATATATAGAAGCTTTTAACAAAGAATGGGTTAAGGGTCATGGATGAAATGTTAAATAAGAACAAAAATCCGAACTTAACCCCTGCGACGGCTGGTCGCTTTGACCTTAATAGCCATTCAATTTCAGGCCATTTTTCGTTTGATATATGTGTGTGCTTTTTGCAAGGCTTTAGGAAATATAGTTTTAGTACGTACTCTGTAACTCTCAATAACGAAGTTAATAATTGGATAAATTCAAAAATAAATGGTCATTCGCCATAATTGGGTTTTTACAATGATTGGAAATAGGCGACGCAGATATGTGTTGTACATTACTACTTCACATACATTTCATTATATATTGTATCTGTTTGTACATTGCTGTCCATGTATTCAACACTGCGAACATGTTTTTTTATATATTTACTTTTATTTATTACTTTTGTTAATTTTTTGAGTGCGTGTTTATAAACGTTTCTTCCTTCTTTATTTCAATTTCTATTAATAATATTATATATAAATATATTATTTCAGTTCTATCGTACTATTTATTGAATTAATTTGTGAGATGAAATGGTATATCTCTGTGTGTATAGTGAATATTGTTGACTATTTTTAAAACCTGTTCGGTCCTTATGTCCCTGTATTCGGTGGAACATTATTTGTTGGAACAAAAATCGGATAATTTTACATATTTACTGTTCTTTATCAGCCAAGCCAAATCAAGTTATGGATGAATAAATAATTATAAAACATGTTTTCTTGAAGGCCCATGTTTTTTTCTCTTTATAACATTAATATAGAGATCAATTATGACTACAATTGATATACACGGTAGTTTATTTAAACAACACAGTTTTATTCATGATTTAGCTTTACGAAAATGTCTTTTTGTCGATTAGCAACACGATTTCATCTGATGTGTATGGAGAAAAAGTCTCAGATCGAAAGCTGTGTGACCCTCGTATTTCTTGACTTAGTAGGGTTTAGCGAATATTTGCGGACAAAAAATAAAAGATACATTTGTTTGAGATAAATATTTTTGCAACATTTTCTTCTTCGGACATTTTGTTCTTTACGTGTTGTTACAAGAGTTATTATGTATTTTTGTGCTAAAGCCGTGTCCTAATTTTTTTCATCTATTGCTTAAATATTATAAAGAAACTTATAGCACAGAATCACCAATACCTAATAGGCGGTATTCGGTAATCGTGGTACCTGAACTATAAAAAGAACATACTGGTTATTTGAGAAAGACACAAAATACGCAATATTCTCTAAAACCATATTCAATAACTGAGTGACAATTATCATTGCACCGCTATCCATTGACATTCCGTGACAAAAATTTTAAGAGATACCGCCTATGTAGCTTTTAAGAATTGGTAAGCTCTTTTCTTTCTCTAAGCCGAATTGGTTCGGAAATACAACACCACATAGTGGTGAAAAGTGTGTGGTGGAGGTGCGCGGCAAAAAGTGCCCTAAATAAGGCTCAGTTGTGTACTCTTAATAGTTAGATAAGATATCATTTGGAAGCGCAAAAACTAATTATTACAATCGGAATTAGTATTACAATTGCGTTATAGGCTTAGACTTCATAATATACATAAACATGATTCTCGAATACATTGGTGACTTCACTATCGCGTTTGGCAGTAGTAATAGCTAAGTGGTTGAGCAAACTTTAATGTGAACGATAGATTTTTAAATTGTTTGAACTATGTGCAATAGATTTTTCAATCGTACCACCGTACGATTAGTACAGTGCCACATACTTTTCTTGGCCGGTAAAAGCGTCGCAGTCATGGATATTAGTATTGCCAGTAAATAAAAATTATCCAGTATAAAGTTAAGGAATTTTTGAGGTTATTCAGGCTAACTTAATAATTTATTAAATAAAACAATGTATACTATAGTATCTAGAAAATACAGTTCAAGGCTCAAATAAATGTGGCACAAACTTAGGAACAACTGACATGATAGGTTTTGTTACTTGATCTATTAATATAATATCTTTTAAGATATCTAGCAATCAGAACCGTTCGATAATTAAAACTTTTTAATCAATATTTTAAGGAATTAAAATAAATACATTTTAGTTGGATTTTTAGTATATTGT